TGAGGAGGGAGGGAGGGAGCGTGGCTCTCGTTTTGGCATACCGGCGGGGGACCACCTGCACCTGCACGAGCACCTGGGGGGCGCGCCGCCGTCGGTGCATGCAGTGGGCTCTGGGCTGGCCGGGCAGCTGCTATGTGTGGGCGCCACCACCCTCCCATCCAGCCAGGCAGGCAGCCAGGCAGCCAGGCAGCTAGGTGAGGCCCCACCCGCGCGCCTGCAGATGAGGTGGAAGGTGACCGGGTGGGTGATCCGCCAGTTTGGGCCCATGGTCCCCGGCATGCGCTGCCAGGTGCGCGGCGTGGGGGGTGGGCGCCGCCGCCTCTGCCGCTGCGCCGGTGCGGGAGGGCCAGGTGTGTGCATGTGGGGCGTCGCCACGGCTCACGCGGTGCCGGCGACCTGGCTGCCCGCCTGCCCCAGCGGCCTGCACCCTGCCTGCCCTGCCCTGCCCCCCGCCTGCAGGTGGGGCTGGCGCTGCAGGCCACCAGCCTGACCGTGGCTGGGGAGCGCAAGGCTGAGGTGGAGGTGACGCCCGAGGCCGCCCACGCCTTTGCGCGCTTCTGGCAGGCGCATGCGGGCTGCCCGCTGATGGGGCGCAACAAGGCACGCGCGGGGTTGGGGTTGGGGGTTGGGGTAAGGTGGCGGGCCGCCCGCGCCGTGCCTGCTGGCGGCCACTGCGGGTGCTCTGGAGCCGAGGGGATGAGCCGCCGCGCCTGGCCCCCCCTCCACAAGCCCCCCACTGACTTCGCATGCGGCCCCCTCCCACACCCACACCCACCCACGCCTGCCAGATTGTGGCCAGCGTGTGCCCCGAGCTGCACGGCCTGTTCCACGTCAAGCTGGCCACGCTGCTGATGCTGGTGGGCGGGGTGGCGCGGCGCGACCCCGGCGGCACCCGCATACGCGGCCAGGCGCACATGCTGCTGGTGGGGGACCCGGGCACAGGTGGGAGGGAGGGTGGGTGGGAGGGGGCAGGGGGCAGGGGGCAGTTGCGCGTGTGTGTGCGTGTGCGGGGTGCGAGCCCTGTCGCTGCACCGCATGGGCCGCCACTGCCCGGCCGCTTCACAAGCTGCTGGCGTTGCGCCCGCACCTCCACCCCCGCGCCCGCGCCCCTCCCCCGCCACGCGTGCTGCGCAGGCAAGAGCCAGTTCCAGCGCTACGTGGCCAAGCTGGCGCCGCGCGCCGTGCTGACCAGCGGGCGCGGCTCCACGGCGGCGGGCCTCACGGCAGCGGCGGTGCACGACGGCGGCGGCTGGGCGCTGGAGGCGGGTGCGCTGGTGCTGGCTGATGGAGGGGTGTGCCTCATCGACGAGTTTGACGGCATCGCGGAGAGGGACAGGTGGGCGGCGGCCCTGGGGTGGGTGGCCCTGGGTGGCCTGCTGGCAGGCTGGTGCGCCAGCTGTCCGTCTGGCATGGGCATGTCTGGCGGGTGGCACACCTGTGTGCTGCCCGCCCCGGCCGCCGTGCCCTGTGCGCCCACCCAGCTGCCCGCCCGCTGGCGCCACCTGGCGGGTGCCGTGCAGGGCCAGCATCCACGAGGCCATGGAGCAGCAGACGACGTCGGTGGCCAAGGCGGGCATGATGGTGTGAGTGGGTGGGGGGGTGGGGGTCACGCCGCCGGCGGGGAGCCAGCTGGATGCGTGCATGCGCCACGGGCCCGCCTCGCACCCTTCACAGGCAGCCGCCGGGCGCCTGCCCACCCTTGGGGGTGCAGGTCCCTCAACACGCGGGCGGCGGTGTTTGCGACGTGCAACCCGGGGCGCAACCAGCGGTGAGGGCAGCGGCTGCGCTGCGCTGCGCGCGCTGCGCTGTGCTGTGCTGTGCCCGCCCCGCCGGCTGGTGGCTGCCCGCCTTCCCACCTGGGATGTCCCCCCTGCTCCCCCGCCCCGCCCGCAGCTACAACCCGCGCCTGCCGCTCGCCTCCCAGCTCAACATCGGCGGCCCCCTGCTGAGCCGCTTCGACATCGTCATCCCGCTGCTGGACCAGGCAGAGCCCGGCCGGGACGAGGCCGTGGCCGACCACCTGCTGCACACGCACCAACGCCGCGGAGGTAGCCAGGCGGCAGCGGCCGGCGGCGGCGGCGCGCGGCAGCGGCAGGCGGAGGCGGAGGCGGCAGAGGTGAGCCTCGCTCCCGCTGCTGAGCTTGACGGGATATGCCGGCAGCGGGCGATGCCGGCAGCTGCGCGAGCAGTGGGCGCGGCTGCCGCTCACCCTCCCCTCCCCTCCCCTCCCGTCCCTTCCCCTGCTCTGAGCGCAGGGCTGGCCGCTGGCCACCCTGCGCCAGTACCTGCAGTGGTGCCGCTCCTCCTTCCGCCCCACGCTGGGGCGCGACGCCGAGCAGCTGCTGTCCGCCCACTTCCGCGCGCGGCGTGCCGCGGAGGGGCGCCAGGCCAGCCGCACCACGGTGCGCATGCTGGAGAGCCTGGTGCGGGTGGCGCAGGCGCATGCCCGCCTCATGGCGCGCAGCCAGGTGGGCCTGCAGGACGCGGTGGTGGCGGTGTGGCTGCAGGAGGCCGCCTGCGTGGACAGCCAGTCGGCGGCGGCGGCGCACGCGGCGGCGGCGGCCGCGGACGCCCAGAGCTTCCCCGACGACCCAGACGCGCAGTACGGCAGGCTGCAGGAGGCGGTGGTGGGCGCGGTGATGGGCGGCGGCGACGGTGGCGCGCCCCCGGACTGCTACCTGGAGTACTGAGAGTGCGTGTGTGTTTGCTGACATGGTGGCATGTGATGCGACACGTCGCTGTCCTTGGGCCAGACATAGTACGCCATGCACGTGTGCATGAGCAACTCAAGCAAGCTCACTGGACGGAGGGAACACACTGGGGAGGGCGCCCCAGCTAAACAGCAGCACAAGAGAAGAAGGTGAGGAAAAGGGCGAAGACCCAGCAGAGCGCGGCGCTGGTGGCGCGGCGCGGCCCGGCTGCTGCCGGGGGACGACCTGTGATATGTGGAGGATTACAGAGTATAGACAGCTGAGAGTATATACAAGTAGGTTGAAAAGATGCAAGGTTGGAGCTGCGGGTGGAAATTGCTTGCATTAAAGGTGCGCATGGCCATGGGGCCCGACGTGCGACTGTGTGGCGGTGTGCGCCGCCAGGTGGGGGCGGAGGGCGATCGGTGGCGGCAAAATTGTGGCCGCTCAGAATGCAGAATGATCATGCATGGCTCAGAATTCGAGCCCCAAAACTGTAAGCTGTAGGCTGTACATGGCTGCGACGCGCGGCCCTGATGCTGCTGCTTGCCAGACCGCCGCACCCGCGCCTAGGCCGCGCCCGCCTGACGCACAAGCGTCCGCACCGAGTCGCCGTCGCCCTGCTGCAGCGTGCGGCGCAGGGTGTCTTAGATCACGTGCCGCTCCGCCGCGCTCGCATCGTAGCCGTAGCGCCGGCAGAAATCACTCTCCTGCAGCGGGAAGGGGCGGGCCCGCAGGCGGCTTCACAAGGCAGTGCGGTGATGCAGCACAGCAGCTCAAGACAGGCGGGAGCGCTGTTGCGGCGCGGATCCGGGCCACAGAGCGCTGCGCTGCACCGCTTGCCTCCTTTGCGGTCACCCCCACCGCACGCAGCAGCGGCTTGATCCTGTCCAGGGCCACCCACGGGTCGCCCACATGTGCCGGCAGGGCTGCTGCGGCGCTAGGCGCAGCAGGCGAGGGCGCAGCGGGGGCTGGCCCAGGCCCGGCCTGCCGCGTGCCCTGTCCTGCACCATCTGCCCGAGCGTCCAGCAGGTTGACAGCCACAGGCGCTGTGCTGCCCTCCTCTGCGGCAGCTGCATGCTCCCGCTTCCGCTTCATCAAAGGGCGCTGCTGCACGGCCGCCGCGGCGGGCTGCGGTGCCTGCCGCTGCGCCGACGTAGCTGGGTTGGGCCGCCGCGCCTGCTGGCGGCCTGTGGGGCACAGGGGCAGAGGGCGCTTCGCTTTATCACCAGTTCGCCATTGCTGCGCGCAATGACCAGGGCCCAGCGCAAGGCAAGGATGGGCCCAGGGCCGCAAGCCAACCATGCCCCGCACCTGACCCCGCCGCCTTTGCCGCCGCCTTGCCCACCACAAGCTTGCCGTTGGGGCCCAGGGTGCTCAGCCAGTCCTCCAGCTCCTCCATGGAGGAACAGTCCTTCAGGGCCCTCATCAGCAGGTTGTAGTGACCAATTGGAAAATTGTACCTGCGGCCATGGCAGGCAAGGCAGGCAGGGGTCTGTGGCCGGGAGAGCGGCATGAGCGCCAGGGCGTGCGACCGGAAACCTGCTGGGCCCCAGCCAAACAGGGGCTGCTCACCTGCCCTGGTGTGTTGAGAGGCCATGCATCACGTGCCTGGCGATGTTAAGCAGATCATAAATCCTTCTGGCCTCCTCCTCAGACTTGAGGCCGCCAATGGACATCCTGCAAACACATGGTCACCGTGGTGTGGCAAGAGGCCTCACGGCAGTCCTGTGGCTTGCATCTTAGATGCTAACCTTGACTGCGGAATGCCTTTCAGCAGCGTCATAGACACCCTCCAAACTGTATGGCCCTCCTTGTCGCAGTGTGAGCTCCCTCCCCCCGGCGCTCGCGTGAACCTCACATCCTGTGCCCTGCCGCTCGTGCCCGTGAGCTTATCTGCCGCCCTCTTCAGCGGCGACACGGTCATGATTGGTGTCTGCTGGTGCAGCAGGGAATAGATATTGGGTTATGCAGTGACAAGGTTGCTTGGCGCGAGTGAGCCCAGGGCGGGTTGCCAGCAGGCAATTGCAGGGCAGGACTGCACACCGATCAGCGAGTGCACCCGGGAGAGGGCGAGGAGATGGGAGCCGGATGGGTATGCGGTTGCCAGAAACAGCCGCTCGCGTCGCAGTTGTAATATGGAGTGATGGGCGGCGCCGCAACTCGGCCTGCGGGTACACAGTGTTTGGCGAGATAGGTCCCGCCAGCTCAGCGCCAGCGGGTCAACCGCCCTCATCTGGATCTCCCTGCCCCCTCCCCCTGCCCTGTTTCCTGGCACGGCACACTAGGCTTCTTTTCAAACAGAGAGCCAGCATATTAGACCGCATGCACCAAGGTCCCGCCGCGCCTCTTCTTGCTGGGACCCTGCTGCTCCACGGGCCCCTGCTGCTGCTGCTCCGCCGTGTCCTGCGTCTTCTTCAGCCTTCTCCTCAGCTTGCGCCTCTGGCGCCTGGTCAGGCCAGCCGCCTCTGTTACTGCGCCCTGCCCCGCATCTGCTGGCCCAGCTCGCGCCGCCAGCAGCGCCTCGAGGTGCGCCACCCGGCGCCGCAGCTCCGCCGTCTGCTGCTGCTCCTCCTCCAGGTCCTCATGGCACTGCTCCGCAAAGGCCAGCAGGTCATCATAGTCCCACCGCCCCCGCACCTCCTCCAGCGCAGCCTCCAGCTGCCGACACCGCCGCACCCACCCCACAATGACCTCAGCGTGCTCCGCACACGCATCGCGCGGCGGGCTGGCGCTGCCCACGGGGGCCGGGCCCCAGTCCGGGCTGCCAGGCGCATGATCCCCCGCCGCAGTCTCTGCCGCCGCCGCCGCCTGCACCTGCGCTTGGGTCAGCTGCGCCTCCAGCTCCTCCACCCGCCGCTCTGCCACCCTGGCACGCTGCCGCGCCTGCTTGTGCCGCCGCTTCTGCATGGCCAGCTCCTTGGCCAGCTCGTCCTCGCGCCCAGCTGCCGCCGCCTGGCTGTCGCTCAGCTGCTGCTGCAGCTGCTCCGCCTCGTGGCGCAGCTGCAGGATGCGGTCGGCGGTCTGGGAGCCGGTGTGCGCGGCAGCTGCAGAGGGTGCGGGGGGGTGGGGGGTAGGAGTGTGCATGTTGGCAGTTGGGTGTGGTGAGTTGTTGCAGGGCGCAAAGTGGGCGGCCGTCCCAAGCTGCCACCAGCAGCAGAGACATGCCGTGCAGAGGCAGGCGGCCCCTATGAAAGGCAGACAGGCGGCGGGCCAGCTCGAGGCGGCGGCCAAAACAGGAGCAGCGGCAGCAGGCGCCACGCCACCCACCACTCTCAGCCTTCTGCAGCTGCTGCTGCACCTCGCGCAGCCGCGCCGTGGCCTCCTCATGCCTGGCTGCCTGCAGCACGGCAGGCAGGCAAGCAGGCATGGGGCGCTCAGGTGCGTGCCCAACCCAAGGTCTCGCTTTGCGAGGCACACCCAGCAGGCAGGGACCAAGTCGGGCGAGGGGGCAGGCAGGCCAGCGTGCCGAACCCCGACAGAATGAGGCAACGGCAGACCCCCAGCCCACCCCACCTGCGCCTGCTGCTGTGCCGCCAGCTCATCACGCTCTCGCTGGGCACTTGCAACCTGCGGGGTGGGTGGGTGGGAGGGTACAGGGGAGGGGACGGCGGTGGATGGTGCAGTGCGAGAGGGATCCACCGCTACTTGCAGCAGGGGCAGCCAACAAGGGGGCAAATCCTACGAGCAAGCTGGTCCGCCATACATATGCTGGCGCCACCCACCTCTCGCTGCAGCCTCCCAGACTCCTCGCCCATTGCCTGCTTCATGCGCTCCACGGCTGCATGGTGGCTGCTCAGCGCGGCATCCCACCTCTGCTGCCTGCCCGCCAGCTCGTCTTGCGCCGAGGCCAGGCCCTGCTGCGCCGCCGCCGCCGCCGCCTGCAACCCACGCAGCTGCTCCTCCAGCCGCCGCTGCTCCTGAGCTGTCGCCGCCAGCTCCCGACGCAGGCCTTCGCACTCCAGCCATCCCGTGGCCTGCCGCGGGCTGGCCGCTGCCTCATGTGGCGCCGCTGCTGCCGCGCCCTGTGGCTGCTGCTGCTGCAACTCCATGCGCTGCTCCTCCTCCTCCTGCTGCTCCTCCTCCTGCTGCTGCTGCTGCTGCTCCTGCGCCGCTGCCGCCTCCAGCACCCCAGCCGCCTGGGCAGCTGGAGACGCGTCCAGGGCCAGCGCTGCGTGTGCGGCAGCCGAGGTGCAATGCCCCCCCTCGCCCGGCGCGGCGCGCTGCCCCGGCGTGGCCCCAGCAGGGGCTCCCGCGCCGCCCCCAGCTGCCGCCCCTGCCAGCTCCGGCCCCTGCCCCTGGGCCGCCTGCCCTGGCTGGGTGGGGCCACGGTCCGCCTGCTGCTCCGCGCCCGCCACAGGCATGGCGGCCTGTGCCGCCTGCTGCTGCGGGGCCAGGCACTGCGCCTGTGCCTCATCGGCCGCCTGCTGCATGCTGGCGATCTGCAGCACCAGGGCGCGGCGCTGCGCCTGCTCATCCTGCACCGCGCGCTGCCCGGCGCCCACCTCGGCCTGCAGCTGGCGGATGCACGCCGCATACCAGTCGCACACTGCCAAGTGCTCGCCACCCAGCTCCTGCGGGCGAATTGAGGGCCGGGAGGAGGGGTGAGGGGTCGGCGGCGTGTCGGGGCGGCGGGGGAAGCATCCGCCACGCAGCCCGCACGGAGCTGCTTCGCTCCTCCTGCTCGGCACAAGCCAACGCATCAAACCTTGCCTCTGCGAACTGCTCAAAGTACTGCAATGGCACCTCCGTGGGGCAGGTATCATCAGAAAATTCGTATAGCTGGCTAATCGAAAAACCGGGGGGCGGCGAATCCGCCTCCGCCGCCTCCTCCGCGCCGCCCTCCTGCACGCGTTGGCGCAGCCTCGCCATGCCTGTGGCCCGGCGCAGCAGAGGCGCCTCTGGGCAGGGGCCAAGGGGCGCTAAATCAGCCATTATTCCGGCGAAATTGTCAAAATCGGTGTGGCCACCCAGAGCTCAGCCAGGAATATGCTATGATTACAGGGTGCGCGGAGCAGCACAGCCTAATTAACACTTGTTTGAAACAACTTGTATCCATCGCTTAGGGGCAAACTCAAATGCACCCTGCACCGCATGGCGCAGCATGAGGCCAGCACACCCACTAGGCTTCCTGCAACAACGCACTGTTTATCAGAATGATGACCTGCGGCGTAGTTGTCGAGGCGGAGCGCGCGACAAACAACATCTTGTCAAAGTATGTGAGCCCCTGCTCTTGAGCCGCCTCCCTCACCCTTCGGGAGACCAATAGAAAGGTGTCAGTGCCGCCAGAACAGCGCGCACCAAACACTGTTGCGCGCACCGACGCCGTCGGTCCGACGCCACCGCCCCGCCACTCGGATGGGGCGGCGCAAATGGCTGGGCTTCAGCCCGGGCCAAAGGCACTTATCGGCGCTGCCGAACAGCGTGTGGCGCATGGCCATGGGGCCCGACGATGACTGCGACTACGTCGCGGTGTGCGCCTCAGGTGCGGACGGAGGGCGACCGGTGGCAGCGGGGCAACTGCCGTCTTGGTGTGCCCCACGGCGGCTCCCATTGCCATGTTTGTTGTTTTGCTAGCACGCTTGCGCATCTTAGCGGCTCATTGCACTGGGTCCCTGCCCTTCACCTCCACCCCTCTGCTGTCCCCTACCCACCCCCGGCAGCATCGGTGATTCAAGAGTCTGGCGCCACGCTGCCGCGGGTGGTGGCCGAGAGCTTCTTTGGGGTGGTCGCGGGCAATGTGGGCAATACCAAGGTGCGGAAACCAAAGGGCAGGGACGCCGCCTGGGACCACCGCTGGTGGTCAGCTGCCATCCTCCTGGTTCGTTCGTGGGGCCCAGATTGCCAGCGCCGCCGCCGTAAACCCTGCCTCACATGCCAACGCCTGCCTCACCCCGGCCACATGTGTGCATGCAGGTGGCGGTGGTGGTGGGCGGCAGTGTCAACAGTGCTGGCGTGGTTTCAGGGGGGGCCGAGTATGAGCTGGGCTTCAGGCGTAATGGTCATCAGCGTGAGCGGGCCGGGCAGCCGACGCTGGGCGCGTGGGAGACTGTGGTGTGGTGGCAAGGGGGCTGGTGGCCAGCAGCGTCCGGCGCACGTTGTCAGCTGCTGCTTCCGGCTGATCTCCACGGTTGCCAGACCTGCCGGCCCGCTGCCCCCCTCCCCCGCCCCCCGCCTAGTGCAGACAAGCTGACCGGGCTAGCGCCTGTGCTGTCGGCGGAACCTGGGCAGCACCGCCGTGGCGCCCCCAAGGTGCCGCCCAACTCCTGGCTGGTGCTGGCCCTGCTGCCCAGCGGGGGCGTGGCCGCCCACACCTACCCGCCAGGCTCACAGGTGCGGGTGCCGGCCAGCACAGTTGCGGCGGCACCCCACCGTGGTTGAGCTGCGTTCGGGCAGGCGTGCAGCGCCAGTTGCGTTGACGCGCGGGTGGCCCCCGCCCGCGGCGCACCTGCAGGAGGCCCAGGCGCTGGAGGAGGGCGGCAAGGGGGCAGGCGAGCACCCAGGTCCCAACCGCACGCCAGGCAGCGCCGGCGTAGGTGCCTCCGGGGCCAAGACGCGGCGGCGGGCGGCCGGCGGCGGGCAGCAGCGGCAGGCGCCTGGCCAGGCTGCACAGGTGGCGCGCGCCTCGCAGCGGGCAGCCACGCCGGGGGAGAGTGGCGACGATGCTGATGCGGCTGCAGCCCTGATGATTGTGGCTGGCGGCAGGCCGCGCGGCTCCAGCCCGCAGCCAAGGAGGTCCAAGGCGCAGGAGGATGTGGACCAGTTGGCAGAGGCGAGGCGGCGGAAGCGGATGGTTGTGGAGGAGGAGGCCCGGGAGCGCACGGCCAGGATCGAGCGGCGGCGGCAGCAGGAGCAGCAGGCCCAGCAGCCAGAGGACAAGGCAGCAAAGAGCCGGCGCAAGCGGAAGCAGCACGAAGAGCGGCCCAGCCCAGCGGCCGCAGCGGATGCCGCCAAGCCGCGGCGGCGGCGGCAGGCCGCAGGTGCAGCGCCCGCCGCGCCAGCGCCAGCGGCTGTGCCTGCAGGTCGAGGACTCTCCCATGCTGCAGATGCCGAGCCGCAGGCGGGTGCAGCAGCCGTGGCTGGGCCCCCCGGCGCCGGTCCTAGCCGGCCACGGGCCCCGCACACTGCTGCTGCCGAACCTGCGGCCGCCCATGCGCAGCGCCACACAGAGCCAGCAGGTGGCGCGCAGGACGACCGGCGGGCCGGCGCAGCAGAGCAGCAGCACCAGGTGCAGCAGGCAGCAGCAGGCAGCGGCCAAGCCCAGGCTGCTGGAGGAGCAGAGCAGCAGCACCCGCAGGCGGCAGGCGCGGCAGGCCAGCTGGCACCGGCGGGCACCATGCAGCTGCTGGTGCAGCAGCAGGCACCAGAGTTGGCGATGCCCCAGCTTGGCCTCGCGTGGCAGCAGATGCAGGCGTTTATGCTGCGGCAGGCTGCTGGTGGCCTCCTGGATCCCCGCACCGCACTGGCGGCAGCAGCGTTCGGCCTGATAACACCGGCGCAGGGCCTGGGTGTGGGCGCACACGCGCAGGCAGCGCCAGCGCCAGCGCACAACCCGCCGCCGCCCCAGCAGCAGGCGGCAGCGAGGCATCGCCAGCTGCCCGGCAGCGTCATCCGCCTGCTGGGTGATGTGTTTGACGGCGCGGCGCCGCATTGCATCGCGCCCCTCAAGGAGTGGATGCTGAGCCAGGGGGTCACCGTCTTTGAGTGCGTAGCAGCCCGGCTGGCTGCTCACTGCCTGGGCCTGCTGGCTGCCCCGTGCCCGGCGCCGCAACTCACCGGCGTTGTGTCCCTGGGTGTGGCCCTGCCACCGCCTGGCGCAGGGACCTGCAGCACGTGGACCCCGACGAGATGTGGGAGGCGGTGCCCGACATCCCGACCACGCTGTTCAACAAGGTGCGGGTGGCTGCAGCTGCATGGCGCTGGGAGTGCGTGGGGGGGGCACGCCGTCCCGCACGCTGCCCATGGGCACTCACCTGCTCCTGGTGTGCCCTGCAGCTGCTGGCCGAGTATGAGGCGCGTGCGTGGGAGGTCCACTGGTGGAGCAGTGAAAAGGTTAATGTATTTGAATTTGACTGAGCATGTGTTATCATCCTGCTAAGAGTGTGCAATTTCTTGACCGCAATGAATGAGGCAAGGCAAGGCAGAGCGCAGGTGGCAACTGCGGTGGGATGGGTGAGGACGTGCATATGGCAGGATACAACTGGAAGTTCAGGAATACACGCAAGAAGCAGCAACCTATAATATGTCATGCCAGGATCCCTGAAATTCAGAGGGAGAGCGCGAGGGTGCGCGGTGGCGCGGCGCTGCCCGCCTGTCACCGCATCCACAATAACGATGTGAGGCCTCTCCCTATCGTGCCACACTTCTTCTTCTTCTCTTCTTTCAGCGAGCATAGATTTCGTGGACTGCACAGACACAGATACAGTGGCTTCGGCGGGTGAACACAAATGCCCTCTTGCGGTCGTTTTTGCAGTGGGCTGCTGAATTCAGCCCATTGACATCCCGCACAGGCTCTGGACATTCGCACATTCGCGTGTGCGGGCCTTCCACAATTTCGATTGCACTCTTTGCATTGCTGCTGAGGGCCGTGAGCGCCCCTCCCCGGTCCAGGCAGCAGAGCTGCGGCACGACGCCATCCACCCCCGCCACGACCGCTGCCACCCACGGCCGCCACCGCCGCCGCCACCACCGCTGCCGATCCTGCCGAAATGCAGCCGCAAGGCAAGGTGCAGCTGGGGGGGTCATTGCCCTGCATCACCGACCCCAATCTCGTGACTCTGGACGGCGACGACGAGGACAACGCCACAACGGCGCACCTGCCGCACTGGGAGCGGCAGCAAATCAAGTGGCGAGGCCTGCCCAAGGACGCCGCCCAGCTGGGGCACCTGGAGCCTGCACCAGGCGGCTGGCTGCTGCGCAGGGACGAAACTGGCAACGTCGACGTGGCCGTGCTGCGGCTGAGAGGTGAGGCCTGTGGCATGGGGTCAGGTGCGTGCATGGGCGCGGGCAGCCCACAATCAACCGCCTGCCTCCGCCCCGCCTGCAGTGCTCATCATGACCACCGGCACAGCGCCCGTGCCTGATGAGGTGGCGGATGTGCTGCTGAACCCCGAGGGGCGCGAGCTGCCTCAACATGTGCCTGTGGCCATCAGCCAATACACCAGCGGCAGGATCACGGTTGGCACAGCCAGCCTGACGCTCAACATGGGGGACACAGACGCGGGGCCGCTGCGTGCGTTGCGGGGCCGCTGCCATGTATGTGTGCCTGGGGCTCTGTGAGGCCCACCCACTCACCACCCTGTGACCTGCCCATGCCCTCAAACCAACCTGCCGGCATGCCTGCCGCTGCCTCTCACCCTCAGCTGTCGCCCCGCCGCCACCTCTGCCAGGCATGGTCAACGTGGCGAATGTGCGCGCCCAGCTGGAGGCCAACCAGCCCGGGTGCTGGCTGGCCGTGAGGCGGCGCAAGGGTCTGCTGATGGCGACGTGGTACCCTGCCGCCGCCCTGGTGCGCCGCTGCCTCCGCTGCACTGCACGCGCCGGCATGCCAGTACCCCGCCTGCTGCTGGTGGGGGAGAGCCTGCCTGGTGGCCGGCTGCATGGCTTGGTGCTGACGCGACTCAGCTGGGGCCCTGCCTTGCTGGTGCGTGTGTTGTGGCTGCGAGTGCAGGCTGGGCACCCTCTGGCTTCTCCGGCACCCGCGCAAGCAGCTGCGGTGGAGGGGCAGGGTGCGGCGGGCGTGCCGCCTGGCCAGCAGACCGCAGCACATCAGCAACAGCAGCAGCAGCCGCAGGTGCTGCGCCAGCTCTCTCGGAGCAGCTCTTTCGCGGTGGGTGCCGCGCCGGCGGCTCCTGCCGCTGCCGCTGCGCCAGCTGCTGCTGCACAGGGTGCGGCCGTGCCGCGCTGGCTGGGGTTCTCCCCATCCGCGCGCACGCTGGACTCGTCTGGCAGGAACTGGCGGCTGGCGGCGGGCGGCACAGATTACGTGGCGCTGCGCTGCACGGGCGAGTTGGCGGGCTTGCCTGGCGCCTTGCGGGCATGCCTGGATGGCCGACCACCCGAGCGCCCTCTCCCCCTCCCCGCTCCCACCCACCCGCCACCCGCGCGTGTGCCTGCCCCTGCAGCCTCCATCATCAAGGAATCCGGGTGCAGCCTGCCCAAGGACCTGGCCGCCGGCTTCTTCCGCCTGACCAGGGACAACGCCGCCGATGCCAAGGTGTGCCTCCTCGCCTCCTGCGCCCGGCGGCGCAGCCACGCACCCTGCACCACCCGCGCCTGCATTCGGCTGTGCCTGCCCCGGACCTGGCATCCCTTGGTGGCCTCTTGCCTGCATCTGCGTGGTGTCAAGGCTGCCCGCTGCTGCCGCCGCCGCTGCCCCGCGCAGATGTACATTGTGCCTGCTGAGAGAGTGGATGCTGCTGGCGGGCTGGCCCCTGGCACGGTGCACCTGCTGCGCTACAAGGTCAACGAGTCCAGCCAGTGTGAGCACCCCACGCCGCGCTGGGCGAGTCAGTGGGGACAGCCTGCAGCTGCCTAGTGGCCCGCCGCCACCTCACCAACTCCCTCCATCCACTCCTGCCTCTGCGCAGACAAGGTGACAGGGCTGAGCACCTTGCTGGCGTGCCCTGGGGGCAAGGTGCCACCCAACACGTGGCTGGTGCTGGCGCGTGCTCCCTGCGGAGGCGTGGCCGCCTGCACCTTCCCACCAGGCTCAGCGGTGAGCTGCCCCTGCCCTGCAATGCAGCCCGTACATGCTTCTCAGCGGCCCAGCCACAGTGATGGCGCCCCTCACCGCTCCACCACGCCCACTTCCTCGTGCTCCAAGTGGCTGCAGGAGGCGCAGGTGCTCGAAGCCGCCGGCAAGGGGCGCGGCGCGGCTGGCAAGCGCAAGGGCGCAGATGAGCAGCAAGCCGCCGCCGCCCCTGCAATGCGGCAGCGGCAATCGGGAGGGGGGGAGGAGGAGGGGGAGCAGCATGACAGCACCTCCGATGCCGCCGGCATGGAGGATGCTGGTGGGCAGCAGCTGGCGCCGGGGAGAGGCGAGGCAGATGCCTGGCAGGGAGAGGGACAGGGGCGGGGCACTACGGCCACAGAGGCGGCGGCCACTGCAGAAGCAGTCGCGGCGACCAGCCCGCTTGTTGAGAGTCAACCTGCTAGAGGCAGGCATAGGGTCGGGCGGCAGGGGCTGCGCCGCTCCAAGCAGCAGGAGCAGCGCCGCCCCAGGCAGATGGAGCTGGTGGTGGGCAGGCATGCGTCGGTGCCATTGCGGCAGCAGCCAGACGCCAGGCGCATGCCCGTTCCAGATGCAGCAGTGGCGGCCGCGGCTCAGGACGAAGTCGAAGCAGCAATTGCTGCTGCCATGCACGTGCAGCTGCAGCAGCAAGGGGCAGCAGCAGCGGGGCAAGCCGTGCCGGGGCCTGCCTCTGCCGCCGCCGCCGGCCAGCATGAGCAGCAGGGTCAGCAGGCAGTGGGGCAGCAGGCAGCGGTGGGGGGCTTCCACCCCCCACCAGCCCTCAGAGCTGCCATTGCCGATGTGGACGCCACGCTTGACCAGCTGGCAGTTGTGTCACGCGCACCGTCAGCAGCAGCACCGCAGCAGCAGCAGCAGCAGCAGCAGGTCATGGCAGCCGCACCTGGCGCCGGCGGGGCTGCTGCGGCTCCCCTGAACTTGCTGCAGCTGCTGGGCCTGGCCCCAAGGGAAGCCGGTCAGGATGCAGCGGTACCGCTATTACAGGCCTACTTGCGAGCGCAGTTGGCCGACGGTGCCGTGGATGGCGCCACTCAGGATGCAGCCATGCGGCTGGGCCTGCTGAAACCAGCCGAAGCGGGTGCAGCGCACCCTTGCGGGATCGGGCGTGAGGATCCCTTCGGCTGGTTTGCTGCCCTGGAGCGTGAGGAGGCGGATGTGGTGGTGGAGCGCCTGCACAGCAAGGTGACCCGGTGATTGTGGACTGCCCCCGGTGTTTGTGCCGCATGCCGTCAGGAGCGACCGGATGAACCACTGCCCTTTGTCATTTGCCATGCAGGCTGAGGCGTGCTTTGCTGCAGATCTGCTGGCCATCTGGGCGCGCCTCCAACGCAAGTTGCCTCTGCACGTCGGCCACAGGTGCGAGGGCGTAGGCGGGGGCGTCAGCGCAGGAATGCCGTCGACTTCTAGCTGGTGGAACCAGCGCCTCACGACATCCGCTCCTGTCTGCAGGAGCGACTTGGCGTGGCATGAATGCCTGCACTTCCCGCTGCACCTGTACAACAGGCTTCTGCCCACGGTGCAGCTGCAGCCCAGCGGGGCAGCCATTGCAGCCAAGCTGGGTATGCTACGCGATTCCGGCGTGCTGCGGTCTCTGGCGGCGACAGTTGGCGGCCACGGTGGCGAAGATGACTTGTGAGGGAACAGCAGGACGGCTGTGATGATTGCACGGAGGAGGGGTGTCGGATTCAGATCACATGTCAGTGTTTGAGCAGTACGCACACCAGGTGTGTCGCACAGGTACTGGTCTGGGCGGCAGGCCAGTAAGCTGACCCTCATTTGGTCGGCATGTAAATTAAAAGTAGGCTGCGATGATGCGAGGATATTCCATGCACCATTGGCTCCTGCAATTTGCTGTACTCAATCTTGTTCGCCGCCGGCTGAGCGGGCGCCAGCGTGACGGCAAGGTCCAGATCGGTTCGTCCCGGATCGTTCTCGGTTTGTGTTGCCTTCTCCCAAAGTCACCCACGTGTGTCATTCTTCTTCTGCTGCTCATCCGCGTTGTTGGCGGGTTCTCCGCTTTGTCTTGTTGCCGCCGCACGGCGATCGCCCAACCTGCACGCGCCTGACCTGCAATCAAAGCAGCGTAGCGGACGCCGCCGCCCCATGGGCGGCTCCCCTGGCGGCGGTGCTGCCACCGCCACTCCTGGTGCCGCCGCCGTCGGCCGCCGCCGCGCAGCCCTGACCACCGCCCTCATGAACCTGGCAAGCATTGTTGAGCGGGCTGACGAAGGCATCCTGCCCGCGGTGGGTGCATGCCAAGAAGTGGGGCCGATGCGTTGCCTCTTGAGGTCTGTATTGGTGTGCATGCCGCCCTAGCACCCCACCGCTGCCGCCCCAGCACTCCCTCTCCCCCCCCCTTCACACGCAGGTCTACGTGTTCATTGGCAAGTCGCTGGGCGTGGGCCTGTGGCAGCTGGGCGCGCTGACCCTGTGCCGCGCGCTGGTGCAGGTGGGGAGCGGCGCATGCTGGGTGTAGGCGCACGCTACAGTAGCCAACACCACCCCAGCCTGCCACACACTCACCCTGGCCTTGCCCCCCCCCATCCCACCCCCACCCCCCACACACACACTCCAGGCGCTCTCGTCTCCCTTGAGCGGCATCCTGGGCGACCGCTACGACAGGGCGTACATCGTGGCGGCGGGGTGCCTGGTGTGGGGCGTCATGACGGCCGCCATCGGCCTGTCCCGCTCGCTGGGCCAGGCCATGGTGTCGTGCGCGGGTGCGGCGCGCCGCACAGGCGACCCGCCCTGCCCACAGCTGCCCGCCAGGCAGCCGCCCCTCTCTCCCCGACCCCACACCCCCCACGCTGGGTTGCGCCTGCCCCGCAGTGAATGGGCTGGGCCTGGCGCTGGTCATCCCCTGCGTCTCCTCCATGGTTGCCGACTACCACCCGCCGGAGACGCGCGGCGGCGCTTTCGGCATGATGGGATTCACAGGTGCGCCCCGCTCCTGCCCGCCCCAGTTGGCCTGGGGCGCCCCTGAATGGCAGAGCACATGCCCACCCGCCGCACCACCTGTGTTCCCCCCGCCCCTGCCCCGCCCGCAGCCTCGCTGGGCGGCATGGCGGGCGCATTCTATGCCACCAACGTGGGCGCCACCACGCTGTTTGGCATCGAGGGCTGGCGCTTTGCTTTCCACCTGGTGAGAGCCCCCTGGCGTGGCGCCCCGCCGCCTGTCTGCCGGTATCCCTGAACCACGCCGCCGCCCAGCATGGGACCCCGGCCTCGCGCTTTTGGAGTGCGCCCAGGAGGCCCCTCCCCCGGCCCTGCCCCGGCTTGCGGGCCACCCTCAGCACGCCATGTACATGCATGTGCGCACGCGGCCACCCCGCTGCGCGCCGCCCCGTGGCCCCCGCAGGTGGGGGGGGTGTGTCTCTTCACCGCCGCCCTGGTGTTGAGGTTTGCGGTGGACCCGCGCCACCTGCACCACCACCCCAGCCTGCACGGGCAGCAGGCATACCGCGCAGCCGCCGCGGGCAGCGGGCCCACAGCCGGGCGGCCGGGCGCGGGCAGCCCCTCGGGCGGCGCCGCCACCGGCGCCGACCTGGAGCAGGCGGGGGCAGCAGCAGCGGGAGGGGTGCGCGGCGCGCCGCTGCTGGTGCGCCGCCAGGTGTGGCGCGACATCAAGTCTGTGCTGCGCATCCGATCCTTCCAGATCATTGTGCTGCAGGCAAGCGGCTGGCCTGCCAGCCTGACCACCGCCCTGCGGCTGGCCTCCTGTGCCGTGTGGTGGGCTGAGCAGCGGCAGTGAGCGTGCACGTGTGTGTGCGTGTGTGCGTGTGTGTGTGTGACACGTGTCCCCCACAACCCCACACCCCCCGCCACGCTGCAGGGCATTGTTGGCAGCGTGCCGTGGCAGGCCATGGTGTGGTTCACCGCCTTCTTCCAGCTGCTGGGCTTCACCGACCTCCAGTCCGCCTCGCTGATGGCGACATTCAGCTGTGGGTGCGCGCTGGGCGGCCTCCTGGGTAAGGCTGCGGGGCGCCAGGCACCTGCTGGCGCCCCGCCCACCTGCTGCGACATGTACTGCGCCCAGCATCGCCCCCCCATCGCCCGCCCACCCGCCACCCTGCTGCAGGTGGCACGCTTGGCGACAGGATGGCCCGCAAGTTGCCCAACAGCCCCAACGGCCGCATCCTCACCAACCAGCTCTCGGTGCTCATTGGGCTGCCGCTGTCGTGCCTGGTCCTGAAAGGTGCGCCCCCCCCTGCTCAGCAGTGGCTTGGCCCGTCGGCCGCTCCGTGCTCACTGCTGCCCCCTGTGCACCCGGCGTTGCAGGCCTGCCTGTTGGTGTCGACATGGGCCGCTTCAGCAGCCTGTACGGCTGCGTGCTCTTCGTCTTTGGGCTGTGCATCAGGCACGCGGGCTGGTCGACTGTGGTGGGCCGGGCGGGTTCCTGCCACCGCTTGGTGGGAGTCTGCCACCGCGCTGCCCCTCACCTCCCCCTGCCTTGCTGCGCGCAGCTGGTGCGGCTGCAACAACTCAGCGCTGTTTGCGGAGCTGGTGCCGGAGGAGCAGCGCAGCACCATCTATGCTTTTGACCGCTCGTTTGAGGTGCGCTGCCTTGCGCTGGCCATGCTGTGACACAGCTGGATAACTGATGTTGAGCAGCCCGGCACACCAACAAGCCACCAACTGATTGCAGGGCGCCGTGGGCGCCATGGGGGCGCCACTGGTGGGCTTGGCGGCGGAGCGTCTGTTTGGGTTCCGAGGGGCGCTGGGTGACAGCAGCAGCGGTGCAGGTGGGAAGGTGGATGGCTCCACTTGGCTTCTAGTGTGCACCCTGAGTTCAGCTGGCCGACTCATTTGCTTTGCCCGCCCTGCCCACCAACGGCATGCAGATGGCAAGAACGTTGCGGCGCTGAGCAGCGCACTGCTGGTGTGCATGGTGGTGCCCTGGGTGCTCTGCCTGCTCTTTTTCACAGGTAGGTAGTCTGGCGCTGCACTGCTGCGCCATCACCCCCTCGCTCACCAGGGACTGGCCCCTGCTGGTGCGTGAGGCTCCACACAACGCCACTGAATGCGGGCCCTTGCTGCGCAGCACTGCACTGGACATTCAAGGAGGACCGCCGAAAGTCGGTGCGGCGCGGTGGGAAAGGTAAGCGTCGGGGCCGCAGCTGCTTCAATCCTCATGCAGGCGTTCACCCGTGGGAGCCTCTGACCTAGACCTCAGCTGCTTCCTGGCGGCCGCTGTCCCTGGCTGCTGCAGAGGAGGTTGTGGAGACACGGGCGCTGATAGAGACGGCGGCAGTGCGCAAGCGAGCAGACCCCGTCTCGCGAGCCGGCCCTGAGTGAGGGCACGGTGGCTGCTGAACGCTGCCGCATGATGCGGTGGTGCATGTCGCCCCTGCACCTCTCTTTGTGTAGAAAGAAGGGGTTGCCGGCTGGGACCCACGTCTGCGACTAGTCTTGTAACTTGTGCCGTACGGTGGTGGGCAGGCCAGGTGTGGCAGCTGCCACCAGTGGGGCAGCAGCAGCAGCGGCGAGGCGACGGCAGCGGTATGGCGCTGGGCAGCGGGCAAGGGTGGCGTCGGTGCTACGCCCCGCCTCCAGGCCAAACCGACGGCTGGCCTGACCTCCTGGTAGGTGTGGGGGTGGGGTGTGGCCAGGCAGGATGGCCTGCTGTCGGTGCTGTCAGGACGGGAGCGTATAGATTTTACAGGCCCAGTTCGTACGCTGCTGGTCATGACAGAGCAACAGGAGGTTGACGAGCAAAGCACGGACAGAGAATTACGTGCAGCTAGGTGCCACATTCCTCTTGCAAGAGTAGCACAAGGGACAGAGGCTAAAAAGGAATGCTGGTGGAGTAAGCAGGAAGCGAGCATGTTGAGTTGGATGGGACATGGCGAGGGGCTGGCGTTGGTGTCGATGCACGTCACACCACCGGCGTGGCGCCAAGCGCCTGAGTGTGCACGTAGGCCTTCTTGAACTCCGCCTGGTCCTCCAGGTCCAGCAGCGACTTGGTCTTACTGACGGTGAGCCGGAAGCGGCGGAACAGCACCCTGCAGCGAAGCGGCAATGGCGGGCATTGAGTGGATGCAAGGCTTGGCCGGCGCGTGCCACCTTGCACAGGCTGCCAGACTGCCCAGTCGCGCAGGCTCACCGATCGTAGACCACCAGCGCAAAGCTGAGGAATGCAAGCACGGCCTCGATCCACAACAGGGCGATGACGGTGGTGCGGGCGCTGCCATACTCAAGCCCGTCGTCGTCTGCCTGCTGCCCGCGCTCTGCAGCACAGGCCATGCAGCATGGTGCGGTCAGCAGGAGGCGGCGCGCATACAAGAGAGATACCAAAAAACGCCATGTGTGCAGAAAAATGTGGCCCACAGAGCGCATACAAGCAGCTGCACAGCGATCTGCTGCCGACTCAGCTGCCAACTCACTGGTGAAGGTGATGGCGGCCACCATCCACCAGAAGGCGGTGAACAGCGACAGCGATCCGTAGATGGAGGGCAGAAAGCCGGCCGCGGAGTTGGCACTTGAGCGCAGGGAGATGAAAGCGCCGAGTGCAACGATAAGGGCGAAGAGGCCACACATGCCGGAGGAGACGTACACAAAGCTGCGGGAGGGGGTAGCACGCGATCAAGTGTAAACAAGGCATGCTGCGCAAAAAGAGCGGCGCATGCATCTCGCAAAGGAATGCAAGAGGTCCCAATCTGGAGCAAAGTGCGACTGGCAGCGAGTTGCGCTGGCTGACGCTGCCGTGCACTCACTCGCATACTTGGCCTGGCAGCAGGTTGAGATAGCACTCAGGGCCTGTGTTGAGCTTGGTGGCTGTCACCGCCGAAATCACAGCGATGAACACCAGCTGCACAACAGGCAATAATGATGCGTGCACCGTGAAGGTGGGCGGCTAGCCTAGCGGCTGCCGGCGGGCGACGGCGGCACAGCCGGCGGCTGCAGGGCGCTCTCTTCTGAATCATTGGCTGGCGCTGCTCGAATGCCTGTTGGCGAGGACAGGGCCCATACAGCAGCTGCATCTCCTTGCCTGGAGCGCCACCAGCCCAGCGACATAGTGAGCGTTGCGCAGGCCCATCATTGCTGCAGATCGAGAGGAATGATGCGCAAACAGGAGCCGGTCGAGCGGCCCCGTGAGAATCTGCATGTAATGTGTGTTCCAGCAGAACAGGTAGGCCTCCCGGTAAGGATGTGCCCCATGATGGGCATGATGGCCCCCCACCTGGAGGGTCATTGGGGACATCATCCTCAATCATGCATCATTCTCCCTCCCGTTTGTTCTGTTGGCATCCCAGCAACCGTAATATGCTTTCTAGGACATGAGCCAGCACTTTAGGGTGAAGGTGGTTAGCAAGACCACGGCCCCCAGGCCTCTAGACGGGCCACAGCCAAAAAGATCCCGTGCAAGTAGACCAGGACAACAAGCTCCCTTCAATGTGCCAGGGCAGGCCAGGCGGCGGGGTGAGAGGGATGACAACGAGGATGAGCGAGCACCCAGCGGCTTCTTAGGCTGGGGCGACCGGCAAGGACGCAAACGTGATCACTGGGAGGCTCGGCTCGGAGCGGACGTGGATGCCTTCTTGGCCTCTCTGCCGGGCCGGGCGGCGCAGCAGCGGCAGGAGCGCCAGCAGCAGCTCCAGCAGCGGCAAGCCCAGCTGGCCAGCATGGAGCCGCTTCCTTGCCACTTAGCAGCAGAAAATGGCAGCTGCTGGGAGTTTCACAAGACGGGCAGCCAGGCAGCTGTGTTTTATGGGCCGCTCGGCGTGGTGGGCAGGCTCACGTTGCCGGTATGGGAGTGCAAGACGCATGGGCGCCCCATTATCACCGTGCACCCTCTCCAGATCAGCTGTGTGCCGACTGCGCCAGTCAATAACACCAAGCTGCTTGATGTGGAGCTTGTCAGGCAGTTCCGCTTGCTGCAACTGCTCAACGGCGTGGGGGCGCACGGTAAGAGCATTGCATCTTGTGGCGCCCTGGCCCGCCCACCACTTCTACCTGCTACTGTCGCACTGCGGTCATTTCTGTGCAGATGCCAAGTGTACAGCTGCTGCTTCCATGTGGGCTGTGGGGCTCTTATGTCCATCTCAGCCCCAAGCAAGGGCGGCTACTGTCTCACAGTTGGCTGACACTCCCGTGTGCTGCCCTTCTTGAACCCCAAGTGCAGCCTACGTGCAAATCCACCACCTGATGGCCACTTCGCTGCAGCCTGAC